GACGTTTATTTGTGGCGATGGATGTTCCATATGCTCGTCTAGCTCGATTACGAGACACTTAGGTTTTTTTCATAACAATAAAATATAAAGAAGAATTTCTAGATGATTCCAAGGTATAGAAAATATTTCTAAAACTATCCAGAACTAGATTGGGTTGCAGAAAATATAAGTATTTTCGGACTATTATTATGTATTTGTCAGTCATCAGTCTGTTTATTTGTTCGTCCTTCGCACATAAACGGTTGGACGGATTTGGATGATATTTAGTACAAATGTAACCTAAACCTGTGACCTGTACTCACATAGGCTATTGTGATGTTATCCTAGCCGATTCCGGCTACGGCGGCCAATCTCATTGAGATTAGCCAACTGCGCAGGAGATATTATAGTGCTCAAGTGTACGCGCAGACACAAGTGCACTCTCTATTCCTATCACTCTCATACTCCGGTGGGACGACCACTCGACTTAAATTTTATATTTAAAAGTATACAACAATCCCACAATCTAGCTAACGTATTTAAAAATTTACCCTGCAGGGCCAATACTGTCAATGGCGTATCACAAAAATTTGTTCTTTGTATGAATTTGTATGAGAGAACGTCCATAGATCAGTGTCGCAGGCTGACAGCAAACCTTGATATAGCCAAGTCAAAAACAGCGTTCATATTTTGCGGACGCGTTCTGTGCATGACGCGGGATTTCATCAGAATAGTGTCGAATGCATACGTTATTCACGACATCCTAAATATTACACTACTAATACACACATCATACATGCCATAGTAAAATTGTGTCGAGATCAAAGTGGTATAAAAATAAAATTTTCTAAAAATTTGTGTGTTTAGGGTCGTTTGAATTTTAATAGAAAGTAAATGTATATATAAATAAATAAATATGTTGGGACATTAATACACAGTACCATTTAGTTCCATGGTAAGCTACGAGACCTGTGTTATGGATACCAGATAGTTGATACAATACACATATATAACTTTAAATACATACATACATACATATGATAAACATTATACACAAATTAATGCTCCCAGCGGGACTCGAACCCTCCACCACTGGCACAACCAGTAGATTCACTACAAACTGAGCCAAACGTGTCGTCAATGTAAGTTTTTCGATTCTGTTTGTTCGTTCTCTCAATTCGAGATTCGAACAAAGTTCACCGAATTTAAATTTGAGATTTTTGATATATAGATTTCTATTACTCTAGTTGTTTTATAATACATCTAACGTTTCAATGTCACGTTATTTCATTCATTCTAAATGAAATTATAATGTGTACTTTATTGAACAAATAATATAGCTTTACCATAGGCAATCTCTTAACGAGCTAAATAAATAACAGATCATTCGATTGTTTGACCAACACAAGAAATGAATTTATGACGTTTAGTATAGATTTCTCAGAGATGAGATATTTTCCCGCAGTAAAAAATATATAATTCTCCTCCTATATGTTGACCCGGGTGACCAGCATCATCATCAAAATCTGTCCAGTGATTTTCTCGCGATGCCCTCTCAGACAGACAGGCAGACAAAAATTCTTAAAACTATAGATTCGGTTTCTATATCGATAACAATGACTATTTCAATATGATTTTTAAAAAATATTCTACTTAGAATTTTACATAGATTGCTTTACCTATTTGATATCGAAAATAATTCATTAGTGACCCAATCTGTAGCAACTTTGGATTAAATATTAATTATACTAATAGTAATCACTATTTACATATTATTAAACAGATAAAAATATTTTTTATAAAATAAATGTTGAATTAAAAATCCGAATAGTTCAAGTCCGACTCAAGATTCGAGTGTTTGGTATCACTTAATAATATCTATCACCTTAAAATAATTGTGTAATAAAATAAAAACGTAAGCAATATTCATTTTATCGTCCGCAAATATTTTGTAAATCAATTCCTCTACAACGTGTACGTTTTTAGAACAATATATCTGTGGCTTTAGATACATCAATCTTATTTTTAAAGAAACCAAACCCATTACGTCCATTATTTAACTACTAGCGTCTCACCCTCGCTTTGCTCGGGTTCGTCCCTAGCTTGCTTCCCCATACAAACTTTCATCCCCATTTTCACCCCTTTAAGGGATAATTACCGGGATAAAAGGTATCCTATGTCCTTTCCAAGGTCTCAAACTATCTTCTTACCAAATTTCATCTAAATCGGTTTAGTAGATCCAGAGATTACCCCCTACAACGTCACAAGCTCACAAACCCACAAACTCACAATATCACAAACTTTACCTCTTTATAATATTAGTATAGATTATGGATACTCAAATTCTTTAATTCGATCTCTTAATAATTATTTCGCAAAATTGGTTCAGCGGTTCACTTCAGACGGACAGACGGGATATGGCGAAATTATAAGGATTCCGTTCTCGTCTCTTAGCTACGGAACCCTAAAAAACAATATATTTGCCAAACAAGCATTAGGTTTAGTTATACAAACCCTTAAACCACCATATACTATCACTTATAGTACGCTTACAAATGATCCCCATAAAGTACAGGAAAAATAAGGCAAAATTCCTTACATTTGTTCTCTTAAAAAAATAGACAACATTGCGAGTAACAGCTGGAAAAGCTAGTGTGTTGCTGTGTTTAACATTAAACTCGTAAGTATGTAATGTATTTACATTTCTCACTAGAGACACAGCTCAGAACAAAGACTGTGGTAGTGGCATCATCCATATTATTGTTTTTACTTTGATGCAAAAAATTTAAATTGATATCCGTCTATCTATATGAATGATCCCTCCTAAATAAAAAAAATCGGATGTATTCCTAAATGCCTAAGTATGAGTTTAGCCGGTTTAGCGTGAAAAAGTAACAAGCATACACATTTTCACATTGGTAATATATGTATGTATGTATGTAGTAGTCCGATCATTTACATTTATATTAAATACAGAAAAACAAAACCAAATCTATCCCACGGGAACCGTACATTTTTATAGGATAAAAAGTAGCTTATATGTATTTTTTTTATGAGCAGAATTATTCTAAGGTTTCATTAAAATCCATTTAGTGGTTTTTGCGTGAAAGTGTAACAAACATCCGTACATCTATACATCCAACATGCAGTCATCCTCACACACTTTCGCTTTTATAATATTAATAGGATTAATAATTGTTAAACTCAAGCTGATTTATTGCCACAAATAAGTCACAGAATCGATTCTCAAAAGGCCCTATGTTTAGATGGAAGAAAACAAAAAAATATATTTTGTTTCCATTTAGTGAAAAAGAAACGTTGGTATTGGAAATTGCAATCCGATAAGATAGAAATCAAAACAGATTATTCAGTTTCTATAGTTGAGTTTCTTCCCATAAGAAATATAATGTAATGCTTATATTATAGGAGATACTCGTAGCAGTTTTTTTTTGGGTCATACATACACAACACCATCTAGTTCCATGGTAAGCTACGAGGCTTGTGTTATGGATACCGTATAGCTGATACACTACATATATATATATATATAACTTTAAATACATACATATTATAAATATAAACATCCATGACTGGAGTACAAACATTCATGCTCATCACACAAATGAATGCGCCTAGCGAGACTCGTATCCACGACCGCTGGTACAATATGTAGGGTCGCTACAAACTGAGCCAAACGTGTCGTTTAAGTTTAAGAAAGTTTTAGTAATACTAAAACATATTTTTAACATGAGTGACTCCATTCTTTATAAATCTATTTATAAGTAGATAGGCGAAGACAAAAAAGTACAGTAAATTTTTCTCCTTTGTTTGTCAACAGATTTTCCTTTTTTTTAACCGACGAAAAAAAGAGGAGGTTCCCAATTCAACACGTATATTTTTTTATATTTGACCACATGTAACTTTTTACAGTGTAGTCCGATTTCGATGATTCTTTTTTTTTATTAGATAACCTTTTTTATTAGATAAAACTAGATACCTTAAAGTTAATCCCATTTTAATTAAAAAAAACCACCCCTAAATGTATAAAATAGTAGATGATTGATTTTTCAACTACTGAATTTTTAAAATACATTCTTCTTACTATGCTACTACTATGTCTACACCAAAAATATAAAAATAAAAACTTAATTTTTTTTTAAAAAAGCACTAAAAAGTAAAAAATAACTGAATATTTTTTACTTTTTAGTGCTTTTCTTTGAAATCGTTTTTTGTGTTTTTTTTTTATTTAGCAATTATTAACGAGCTTTAGTGTTATCAATAAAAAAAATATAATCAAATTTCGACCACTGGGCGAACGCTAGTATAAATATTTATTTTCATTTCCTTTATTTACTTTTGCAATAAATATCTTAAGTAGAATTTAAGTATGCTATAATAAAGTCTGTTCTAAGGTGCATAAAATGCGAACCCGACTTGTCCATTAGTAGAATAACTTTCCTTACAATAAAGCACGGTCTTGTTAGATCTGGCAGTTAGCTTTACTCGCCTCATACAAGCCCCTGTCAAGTGTTTTAATATTTATCACCTTTCTTTAACAGTTCTTTTTGTACTATTTTTGTAGTAGACTTAACATGTGTTTTTTGACAGAGTTGAAAAGAAAATATTAAATATGTGTGTGTTTTTATTGTCTATAAGTGACGCGATGTTTTAGCCAATTGAGGATTGATTTCATTATATTTTTAACTAGCGACTCACCCTCGCTTTGCTTGGATTGTCCCTAGGTACATCTAAACGGTTAATATGAAATACAAATCTTAGAATTTCTCGGCTTTCCTTTACTATAATATACATGTATTATACATATAAACCTTCCTCTTGAATCACTTTATCTATTGCTGAAAACTGCATTAAAATCCATTGAGTAGTTTAAAAGACCTAAGTGGACAGATAGCGGAAGCGACAACAATTTATACTATGTAAAGATCATCAAGGATAGTCTCGTGTAAATTTTAAGAAAAAAAAGTCCTTCTAAGGATTTAGATAGATAGATAGATAGATAG